GTGGCACCAGCGAGATCCAGCTAAGGTAAAGAACTTCGTGTCGCGGCTGCTCCACTCCGACGCGGTCTCATGAACTTAACTTCGTTGCCTTCCCGCGCGCGAAGCGAATGGGCGTTGTGCTGTGGGTCAGTTTCGGGGCATTCATTTTGATCGACGAGCTTTTTCAGCCCCAAAACTAAGAATCAATGGAATGTGTGTCTATCCATGAACATCTATTCTATCTGTATATCTAGGGGATCTCTCTAAAAATATAAAAGAGTTTTATGGCACGATATGATCGCCTAGCCGTAGCCGCATATTGAGCGCAGCGGATATGCGGGATTTCAGTTGGATCAGATCTTTCGCTTTGACGGAAGCTTTTGGACCTAGCGAAAAGGACTTTATTTTATAAGCCTTCGCGCAAGCAACGCGAGAGAAGCAAGCAAAGTAGAAGCTTTGCCAGAAGCAAGACGAGGAAGCAGAGCTGTCGTATAAGCGGTAGCTTCCCCCGACCTACTAAACAAAAAGACAACAGCCGCGACCTACTTTGTTTGATTCAAAACAAAAGAAAGGCGAAGGTTTTGGCAACAAGCAAACGGCTTTCTATCATAGTCTTTAGGGTTCCAAACCTTAACTACTTAACTTAAGTACGGCAGCTTTCGGTTGGTAAATAAGGGGGGGGGGGGGGGGCTGTTCACTACAAGCTATCAGCGCTGTCTTAGATTGAACGTCGACTTATCTTTATCTTATTGCCATTCAATCTCTAAGGCGGGTTGACGCTGAGAACGGAAGAGTGTTCGTGTCCAAAGGTGAACAACGCCTTAGCTTCTAGAGTTCGCTGCTTTTCCCAGGCCGGAGAAGGGCTTATACTGCTCGCCTTTGTTTGATATGTTCATTCAGTACCAATACAAAGAAAAACTACACCAAAGTGGAAAGGCCCCTATAGAAGCTAGAAGTAACCTCTAGTAGTCTAGTAGTCGGCCTAACCAAAACGTCACGACAACAGAAAATTACCCTTATGAATTAAATCTTAAGTAGGGGGCTTAGCCCGCCCGCCTACCAATCAAAGAGGCTGAGAGTTAGCGTAAGCTCAAAGAGCTTACCTTCATTCGCTTCGCAGGAGCCGCACAAGACATAGCTGGAAGTCAGAGGGCCCATACTACCTGCCTAACCCCTCGCTCTGAGGGACCTTCGATCGGACGTTATAAACCACCCCATTCATCTAAAAGAGAGGGGAAGGGGCCTATGTATTTGCATGACTCCTGCGGATTTTACCCTATCTACACCCGGAGCCAATCTCCTATCGGTTCTGCCACCACGCCGCAGAACGGGAGCTCGTGTGGAACCTTTTATTTCTGGCGTAATAGTGGTGGAACGTAAAAAAAGATTACGGTCGCGTAACATAAGGGCCGGAGGTACGGTAAACTCGGCAAAAAGATGACACCCGAAGGGAGGGCCCGACGCGCACAATCCTATCCTCGTCCGAGTTTACCCCTTGCACTTCGGACAGCCGTCCGTAGCATCATAAGGAGGACCTCCCTTTCGGGGTAAAGTAAAAAAAGGGTACGGTACATAGGAGGCTGGTCTTTCTCAACGTGGTGTATAGCACGAAAAACCTTTCGATAAAAGATAGGGCCGTTCACATGAAAGAAGATAATCAACCCTTTCTTCTCTTCTTTCTCTTTCTCGAGGGGTAAAGAGAAAGAGGGTCTTTTGGAGGGAGGGGAACATTCTGGCGTTTTTTTTTAAATCCTCCACTGCATCCAAGATCACAAGTGGAACGCTAAGCAGGGGGGAGGGGAATTGGGCTGGGCCTACCTATCCCGATAGAACCTCATAAAGGAACGGGAGCTGTTGAGAGGTTCCATATTGCCGAGCCGAAGGGCAGCACTTCTATACGTGATCGTCTCACGTCGTCTCGTCCCCGCTGCATTGAAAAGTACCTATGCACTCTTTCCGGTTCACTGATAAGGAAGATAGAGTTGGGGTGGGGGTCTACGATGTGATACTCAAGTATGACCCGGGAAGATACATGCTAACTATGGGTAGGGGTAGAAAGCTTTTACCTTTTTGTAAATAAATTAGGGGGGTTACAGATCATATCTCTTATACTACCATCGATCGACAGAGCGGAATGACCAGAAAAAAAAAAAGTGAAGTTAGAAAGCCGTATGATAGGCGGTCACTATCTTGTACGGTTCGGGGGGTAATCGGCGTACTCCGATCAGTGGGGGGGAATCTTTGGCTCTATCGAACATACAGGGAATTGGAGGTAGCATTCCACCGATGTTAAGTCATGGACTGGTTCCTTCAGCCCTTTTTCTATGTGTTGGTGTTCTATATGACCGACATAAGACTCGACTTGTTAGATATTACGGAGGGTTAGTGAGCACCATGCCGAATCTCTCTACCATTTCCTTCTCTTCCACTTTGGCCAATATGAGTTCACCTGGTACTAGCAGCTTTATCGGGGAATTTCCCATCTCAGTAGGAGCTTTCCAAAGAAATAGCTTAGTAGCCACATTAGCAGCGCTTGGGATGATTTTAGGCGCGGCGTATTCCCTTTGGCTATATAATCGTGTGGTTTCTGGAAATTTAAAACCCGATTTCCTCCATAAATTCTCCGATCCAAATGGCAGAGAAGTTTCCATATTTATACCTTTTCTTGTTGGAGGGGCGACCGTCCGTTGAACTACCAAAGAAAAAAGGGTAAACCAATGTGATCATGACATTGTAGGTGCTTGCGATGGGGCGGATGCGACTTCCCTCAGTTGGTTTGGGTGGTATAGCCCGTTGCAGAAGTCCCCCCTTTTTTTATCCATTTCTTTCTTTAGTCTTTAGGGAGCCAAAGCTTAACTTTACTAATAAATTAAATAAGGCTCGCGCAGGGGCGCTCACGTTTTTTGGCTGAGCCGTATCTTGCTGGGTGGGACCGAGAGCAAGAAAGGACGGGGGGCAACCATGCATAGTACTTCTCGACCGTGTCTCCGAGGGACAGTTGAACGAGCGACTCATGAATGCTGCCGGGTTGGACGAGCCAATAACTCGAACGCGTTCGGTCTGTTTTTTGAGCAAGAATCACAGCGTTACCTTACCTTCACCATGATACGGACTCCAAGTTATTATGGCAGAGCGCGAGGAGATTTATCATCAATATGATGATGGGAATGGAAACCAGAAGCATGACCGACCGGGGTCTTCGTGGTCCAATATAAGAAAACCTTCAGTAAAAGTAGTAACGTAAGCATGAGACTTTTTGGTAGTACCGGTGAACCAGATGGCCGCGGCGATGGAATCTGGGACGGAGGACTCGTAGTATCTCTCTAGATCTGGCAAAAGCTAAATACCCATAACGTAACGTAATTCGAATGGGGGGCTGACCGCTGAGCCCACTCTGGCCTCGCGGGGCGGGCCCCTGTGGTTTCGAGCTGGAGCTGCCATAGCTTATGGCTAGAGCAATGGGAGGGGGCCCCGACATAGAGAACAGTAAGGATAACGAGCGCTCCGCCCGCTTCCGCTTGGCGGGCGGCAGGAGCAGCAGGCAAGTGCTTGGTAGGCCAACAGCCCAGTGAACCGGGTGGGGCACTCGACGAAAGGGGGGCACACTGAGCAAGTACGATAAATTTGCCGCGCTCCGCTTTATTAAAAGCAAGGATCACTACGGGAGGTCAAACCTGAAGCTTGGACCTACGGAAGTCGGGGCTCATCCCCGGTCAATATTGGATCAAACAATAGAGGGCCGTAGCACTTACCTATTTTTTTTTTTATTGATTCAAGACAAGAGGGGAAAAGATCGTAAAGTTCCCTACCGAGACAACAGACACTCTCAATGGATCCTCCGCTTCTGGTTCTGGGCATACCTCTTCTGTGCGTCTTTCTCGTGGCAGGAACAGAACAACAGGGAAAGACCCGGCCGACCTGCCCAGGGCTCGAGGGCGAGCTTTATTTAAGAGAGAATGGGGAGTGAATCGAAAGGCTTCCGTTTTCGTTCTTGGTTTTTGGGGCTTTCGGGCTCCTCTCGATCTTATTCGTAGTTGCTCATGGGAAGGGGGAAGGAGTCTCAATCAATGGACGTTGCACATGACACGATCAATTCGACTCAATGTCCGGCGCTAATAGAAGTTGCTTACTCTCCTAGTTAGAAGGAAAAAGGCAGGGCTTTTTTCGTAGTCATAGTGGGCGGGTCTCATGATATCTTTTCTAGGATTCCTTATCACGCACGGAGATCTTTCCATTGATAGAGATAAGAAAGAGGGCTCCCCCCTTGAACAAACTCTTAAAGGTTAGGTTACTACCTGCCTCTACGGAAGAGGTTTACTTTGTACCGCCTGGAGGTCATATAGATAGAAACCCGGAGCGATAAGAACGAAAGCCCTACCCACAGCTACAACTACTGGCGCTTCAAAAGGCTTAGATTGATTCTAAGGTCGCTACAGCAAGCTACCTTTTTTTAGGTCGTGTAATAGGGAGGTGTCAGCCTCGAAAGCCTTTAGTACTTCGGTAGGGCGAGCAGCCCTTAAACAAAAAAAAAGGTTTGGAACTCTTCCCGTATTTCTGCATTTCATTCTCTATTCAGCCCACCTCAAAAATTAATAATAATAATAAAGGATAGGACTATGGATTCGAAGTCACTACGAAAGGGTCGGTCAATAGCATAGCTCTTTCTTTCCCCGGTCTCCTTTCGAAGGAAAGGCCTTCGCATTCCTAATTCGGAACCGGTAGGGGGCCGGACGGCTTTTTTTGCCCCAGCTTGGCTAATCGCATCCCCGCACAATGACATTCTTTGTGCGCCCCTTACTGTTCTCGCTCAGTCTTTGCAACGGCTGGGGAGGCAGTCGCAGAAGTGAAGCCTATCGCCACGCCGACCATCAAATACGAGATTGGGCCCCTTCTCAAAGATTTGATGGAATGGCCCAGCCCACCCAAGAGCGCTTATGTAATATGGGAACTCATGGCTGGAAACAATCCTTATGGTTTTGATATCCGGTAGGAATAATCAGAATCAAAGTCCAGGTTGGTTGGTGAGCCTAGTGATAGGAGACTATCTAGCTTGGTTCGGAGAGCACTTGTTGGGTTAAAGATTTTTTTGTTGCTAAATGTTACGGCCTAAATGCTGAACTATTGACCCTACTTGTTCGGATGGGTGTTCACCCCAAAGTGTTCCCGGACCGCATGCATACATACGTAAGTAACTTAGTGCAACATGGCAAATTAAATTGAGAGGAATCCGCAAAGAAAATAAAAAGGGGTCAACATCTTATTTTGTATTTTTTAGAGATTGTCCTCGGCTCGGGCTGAGGAGTGTCCACATGAGTTCGTTGAGGTGTCTACACAGGTTCGAAGACGCTCTTTTATATTCTGTCGAGAGTTCGGATTGCTCCACCTAAGTAGAACGAAAAGAAGGAATTGGAAATTCGGGGAGCCAGAAGCTTCGCTTCCGGTAGCTTGCTTACTCTCCTAGTTAGAAGAAGGCTCTTTGGCTAATTCTTTAGATCTGGGTAGAGTCTCGCTCAGTAAAGAGAGTTGTAGATTCTTAAGATCATGATAAAGTCCCCTTTACTTTATATTCTATTAGTAAAGCGCTAGCGCTACAACTAGCATAGCAGCCTGCAGAAAAGGCTCAACGAGCCCCGTACTCCTAAGTTGGAGCAACAAGCAACGGATTGAGCGCATCTTTCCCCTTTCAATTAGTAAGGTTGTCAAAAGGTAGGTTTTTGACTTAGTGCTTGTGCTAAGGTTTGAAGACGCTCGACCCTTCTATATTATATAAATAATTAAGGCAAGCAAGGTAAACAAACCCCCACGCCTCCTATTTCTTAAGGGGGGGGGGCTTTTCTTTGACGAAAAAAAGAAAGCCTCCATTACTAATAAAGTGCTAACGCGCATCCCTTGATCTCCGCCTAACCGGGGCTAGGCGTCTTTCAGTTTTTGGTTCCTGACTTGATGGGATGGGAGTCACAAGGCTTTAAAGAAGGCCGAGGAGCGGGGTTGAACGAGATTCGCTTTGGTTCATTTACCTTGCTCATATATCAAGGTTGAGTCTAACTCCTTATTTATGTTATGTCTCGGAAAGACAGATGTGCTTTCTGATACACTGGACTAAGGTGACTAACCCACAGGACCAGAGATGAGACAGAGACTGAGACAACGATTTGTCGAAGACACTGTGCCCGAATCAAAATCAAGGAAAGCAACTGTGCCTGAGAAGATATATATATTTAACAGCCTTTAATGCGTCTTGCTTAGGTTGAAGCAATTGCCAGTATAGTTGCTGTTCTTATGCCGCTACCGCTATTAGTAGATCAAACGCTCTTCTTTCTCTTTTTAGTGCTGGGACCTCCTCGATTACGAAAGTAAAACGCGAAACTAATAGGTTAGAGCAGCCTTACTTACCGAAAATTCAGTTTTCAAGTCGAGAAAAGTGAATTTCATCTTGCTTTTCACCTTTGGTTTGTGTATTCGATTTCCCCCTGTGCTTCCACTTCTCCTTTTGTTGCCTCGAGATCGTGCCTTTTTTACTCGACTCGCTCCCTGCTCAAAAAAGAATATCTTATTCCGCTTCTACAACTCGGGTCGATATGTTTGGGAGTCATGGTCACATCATGAATTTTTCTACCTGTCGCGCTCGCGTCATTCGCTGGCTAGTTGGGAGGATAGTACATTCCAACTCACATGCTTCCCAAACCAAGACTCGGGGGCAAGAGCGCGACTGCTAAATTGACTGGATCTGGATCATCCGGAACTACATCTAAATCTCTGACTATGGCGACTAGGACTATCTTTGGATCACGATTTCAAAATGCCTGGATCGCTCTTCCGATTCCGATTCCGATTCCGGGCCGGTTCGAGCCTTTCAATAGTGCATCGTATGTAGTAGTAGCGAGCAGTTCCTTCCCGGATCGAGAAGGTTTAGCAAAAAATTCCCCCATACAGATAGAGGTATAGCCTTGCCTCTGGCTTTGCCCCCTTATTACGTTACGGGTGAATCTCTTCGATCCGGAATTTAACTATCCCTAAAATTTTAAAAAGGCTTTTCTGCTGTTAGCTCCGCCACTGGGCCGACTTAAATGCAATAGTAGACTAAGCAAGCCAGAGATGATATGCAAAAAGAAGGAAGGTCCAGGTAAGGCCTAACCACTGTTTTCAGATGCAGATGAAAGGGGGGGTGCCATTTTAGGTCTATGAAAAACCGATGCGACACGGAGAACCCTTTTCCATACCAAGTTATCGTCTAACGGTTTGAATTGAAAGAAAGAACCTTTACTTTTTGAGGTGAGACCGCGAAGTGCAAAGCCCTCAATCAAGACTTGATAAATTGCATCTATCACAATCCAAGTCCTCCCATTTTTTAGTAAGAGGGGCTAGCTTCCCTTCTTTTCTGGATCTTGACTGGGTGAGTAAGGGTACCAAGAAGGTAAGCTGACTCCTGAGGAATCCCCTAGCCTTAACTCATCTAGCCGTAGCTCATTGGGCGGATTGCTTTTCATAGCCAAAGTCTTTTGAAAGAGAAGAATCGACATTCTTGGATTAGGCTGGTGCTAGATTTTATTTAAGATAAATAATAAGGAGAAAGGTTGCCTTAGGTTTAGGAGTTTCGAGTTCTCTCTGCTTTCATAGCCTAGTTTCGTAGCCTTGGTGCCTAGCCTTCTGCTTCTGATCCCGGGATAATAAAAAAAGAAGAATGGCTGTTGTTGAATCAGCTGTGAAAGACGCTATTGCCTAAGTTGATGTTGGTGTAATAGACCCTACGGGAGCCCCGTGAAGGCAAATTTATCTGTCCGGCTATCCCCCCTATGTCACCAATTGTTGCAACGAGGGTGACGTCATTGAGGCCCTCAAGGACATGCTTAGCAAAGGTATGAGAAAATATCGCCAGTTCTATAAAGTAAAGGGCTGGAGAGTCGAAGAGCGCACTTTGGGACTAAAAAAGATGACTCATATTCTATTGTGAATTATCTGTCTTCTTGTTTTTACTAGGATTATTAGTTGACGCTGATGGTTTACGTGGCTAGCTTTGAAACCACTTGTCTCCCTCTTTAAGGTTGCTCCAGAAAATATAAATCCTGATGTCGGTGCTGGTATAGGCTTGATCCAGTTACGCAAGGTCTGGCATGTGTCCTTGATAAGGGCTCTACGCCAGGGCTTCCATAAACTTATGCACTCCTCTTTGGTGATAGTGACCCTAGGCCATGGACCTTTCTTCTCTGAGTCCGCAGATGCTTCCGTCAGACTTGGCCTCCTCCATGCCTCCTTTCTTCTTCATCATCCGATTCCGATTCCGATTCCGAATCCGAGCGATCGGAGGGTTCTCCTTAAAAAAAGGGTATCCTTTCAAGATATGTCACCCCAACCAGTTGGGCCAGTTGGGATTGGGGGGCATTAGTGATCCCTTCCACAGGTTCTATGTATTTAACCTGGGACATATCATGACAGCCAAAAAAATATCCCGATGAGCGGCGTTTACACTTCTTGGTGCTACGAGAGAGGAGATCATCCTCTTCGGTTGCAGGAGAAGCGACCACAGATTGGATTTCTGACGACATGGGAGCTCTGATGGTGCTGAAGGCCAGGCCTGGTCGGTTTACTTTATTCCCTCCCGTCTTTCGTCACTCGAGGTCTAGCTTTCCCTTAGATGACTTTGCATCCTTCCTGCTTGAAGGAAAGTGCCGCACTCTTTCTTGCCACTCGGAGATAGCCTTTTCGATCTTATTGGCTTAAGCAGACCATTCGTGAGTAGCAGATTCCAACAACTGATATTGCGATTCTTCTTGAACTGACCTTTCATGAGGGAACGATATTGATCGTCATTCATCTATATGTAGCTTTGTCTCTATCTATGATGCTATAGATCATCTTGATATAGCAGCGGAGAAAGAATGCTGCCTTTCTGCTCTTTCTACCTTTGCTTCTCCTGCTTGGGTCTCGCTCACGGATCTCAACCACGAGACTAAGAATCATGCTTACGAGGCTATCTCGATCTCTATTGTGCAGCCTGAAGTGGTTAGTCTGGTTATCAAGGAGGATCAGATGTCTGAGACGGATTAAGTGGTTGATAGTGAGCAATCAGCTAAGGGAGGATGCAAATTTATGAATTATCGTTCCAGACAGCGACGGAGGATGGTGTAGAATTCGAACAACACTCCTTTGACTTGCTATCTAAGAGACTAGCCTGGAGAGATAGGAAAGACGCTCTGCTAAAAAGGGATACTAAAAAAAAAGTCGATGCCCCTATGAGGGATTGACAACTTGATGTCGCAAGATCGGTTGTTAAAAGACTAAAGCCCACCTTCAAGCTAAAAGTCTAGTAGTATTAATTACTTATTCTTCTTCCGCCATACCCAAGAGTCATAAACTCCCTAAAGATATTTGAGAAGAGTAACTAAGATAAGAGTTGTTATAGGATTTAACGAAAATCGATTTATAGTAAGTGTGCCGCTAATTGGCATATCTCTTTGTTGTCGATTAGAGACCTTCCTTGCCCTGCTTAGGGCTATGTGATAGCACCAAAAGGGGGACGACCTATTCTATTTGAACAAGACCACAGAAAAGTCATACGGTCAAGCGAACCAAAGCCAAAGCTAAATCCTCTTCCCTTCGCTCCTTCCCCGGCTCCACTCCAGAGCAATGCCATGACCCGGTCGAGAGCCTTCCATGCGGATTCCTTCAAAGAGAAAGAGAGAGTTTGTATTCCCGGCATCAATGCAAAAACTTCCTGGTCCTTCAAAGAGAAAAAGAGCAATTCTTGCTCCCACCAAACCATGCCATGAACAGTCGACTCAGAGGTAGATACAGAGCCATAGGCAAACCTTCATGATAGCCTTTTATGAATACGACCCTCGTGCTCGAGAGGCGGATCCAAAGGCAGTCGCTTACCTAGGAGCATACTTCGGTGTAGCATATATAGCGGCATAGCCCTTTGACCTAGGAATCCTAGAAAATATATCTATTGAAACCCACCATAAGTATCTGGGGAGACAACAGCGGATACAGATTTACCATAAGCAAAAGCGGCTACTGAGGC